CAAACATTCAGAGGATGGTAGCTGTGTTTGATTGGACTCAGCGTGATTGGCTTGCATTCCATAAGGCAAGAGCCGCACGAAAGGAGTTTGTGATTTTCGAAAATGCGAGCCCTTCGCGGAGCACTCGTCCGCAGTCATCGCAGCGCATGCGCGCGCGTCCTGGTTTTAGATTACTGTAGGGGACGGTGGGTTCAGAAGGGCCGTCTCCCACCCAGCGCGATATGACATACTGTAGGTGCGAAACGGCGCGAACCATTGCGAGGCGCACGCCCGCCATTCCAATTTCCGCTTAAAGCGAGTCGAAACTTACTGTGTGGTTTGACTCTTGTTAGTGAGCAAAATCTATCCTTATTGGCCAAATTAGACTTCTAGCTCTTGCTCAATTCTGTCCTGCGAGAATGTATACATCTGATAAAGTGTTGCTTAGTCGAAGAATCAGACGTCCTTTCAATTTTTAACTTGTATGATACCCAAAATGCTACGTTTGAATGTGAAAGGAAGCCTAAAGCATGCGTTTTCCTGAGTAAATGCTGCTGGCATGGAGCTTTTTGAAAATGCAATCGTCCCCAGGATAAAAAGGATCAACAGGTGTTTTTCTTTGGGAAGTTTACCGTTTATCACCAGGGCGTTGATTCTACCGTTTTGCCTCCCTGTCTCAGCCTTAGGTGAAGGGATCATCCAAATGCCTTCACCAAAATGAAGGGATTTGAAACCGTCCCACCCAACGATCAAAGTCAAAAATTAGGAAATATTTCTGTTGCAGTATTTGATTCAAAAAGCTCTTTTTCCTTTGTAAGCAGCTTTACATGTCAAGACAGTCACCATTTCATTCCTTGCAGATGATAGCAAGAAAAAACAGGACGGTTTTTGGATGCGCACCCAAAGTGTATTACTCGCACAGTACTGATGGTACCACGTTTGTTGGAAAATGGACTGTGCTATGTGGACTCGACAATCCGAAAGATGTGTCGCGACATGTAATATGAAAGAATTTCCATCATCATCTATTAGGTTTTCCCAGAAGTTAAATTTTCAAATAAATTGAGCTGTTTTTGTTTCTCTGATAGATTTAGCATACCATTCGATTGAGCGGAGCAAGCTCTACATGAAGACCACTAAGGATCCACCTAAGTCATAACCCTAGTGAAATCTGGAGTCAGATTCAAAAATTTTCAGCTACCCTAAAAATCGTATCGCCTTTCAGAATATTCCTATGGACTTCCAACTTGGTCTTTATATAGTAGACAAATTGTAGCCAAAAACCCCAATATATGCCCAAAAATGTATATGGTAAATTTTTGGAGGGTTCGAAATTGAGGAACAAAAGTGGTCCGAAAATACTAAAATGCCCCTTTTTTCGGGGTTTTCATTTAAAACTTGGTATTATTTCTCGATAAGAAACATACAGGGGTGAAGTGTTGAGAGCATTTTCGTAAGACTGCATTACATAATGACATATGTGGAAGGGGCTGGGGGCGGAGTTCGCCATTTCTAGACTATCTTTTTTTTCTCGCTTTCTATGCACGCGAAAATCCAGCAAGAACATATTTGAGCACTACTATGTGCCTCTATAATGACCAAGTTTTTGCTTAATTTTGGCTATGAATTTTAGTTGGAATGTAACTTAGGCGGATCCTTGGTGGTCCTTCTGTAGATCTTGATCTGCTCTGGCGATAACCAAAGTCTGCTAGGAAAACAAAAACATCTTGAATTACTTGAAAGAGAAGTTTACTTTTGGGACAAGCTAATATATAGGAAAGAGAGACGGTGGGTAAGGGGAGCGATTGAAACATAACTGTCTTTCAAAAAAATAAACGTTGCCAAAGCGACTGACCAATTGATTATCATTTCATGTATAAAATCGAATGTCTGTTTGTCAGTGTATGTATTTCTATGTGTCTGTACGTAACTTTAAATAGGAAATATTTCAGATATCAGGACGGCGGGTGATAGGCTACCTCTATACTTGGGACCGAATCGAATGATTATTCGATGATTCAAATAAATCATTCGAATGCGAATGATTCGAAAAGTCGAATATTCGAAATTTCTAGCTTTCGAATATGCTGGATATTCAAACATTCGAAAATCTCGTTTCATCCTGGGGAAACCAACCGAAACCAAACCAAACCGTCATCATGTCGAATATTCGATGGTCATCGAATAATCAAGATGACCATCGGATATTCGCTTCCGAATAATATTCGAAAGTTGAAAATTTCGAATACTCGACTTTCGAATAATATAATAATAACAGTATTTATCTGAGAAACTGTGTCCTCCAAGAATCCAGGATGGGAATGCTAAAGGTGGACATTGGGTGCAATGACACACAGACTATGGAATGATGCTACTGTATACTAAATGTGTAACGTCGGGTTGTCGACAGCACGGGCTTGCTGTAAAGAGTCCTCGCAGCACGGGTGAGATATCAGAACAGGACTTGTGCATTCAGCAACTTTTATGGTACGTGAGTTCGGCTGAGCTGCGCGGCGCATGCTCCGCAACCTGCGATCAGTCCGTGCGGTCTCCATCGGGACAGTATAAATATACAATGATTATTACGCTGCAGATGTTCTCAAGAAATCAGTGGAAGTTACGCAGCTCAGAAGGAACGTATTCGAAGACTCAGAAGAGCCAGCTAAAGAGGAAGATTTTTATGTTTTGATGGTCGAATTCTCGGTCGTTTTTGCATGCACTTTTGTCCAGAAATGAAGAGCAATTCATGTGTTGCAGAGTAGTCGTATCAAAGGGAACTACAAAGACCCACAATAATCGTATCACATACACATTTAATTTTTCGAATAATAATCGAAAATCGAATGGTATTCGAAAGTCGAATGATATTCGATATTCCAATACTCGAAATTTTCGATTTCAGAATATTATTCGATAGTCGAGTATTCGAAAAAATTTTCGAAGTTCCTCAAATATAGTGAGCACCGTCAGTTTAATGTGCTCACCCCCTCAATGCACTGGAGAGGCGCCGGCGCCCGGGGGTGAGCACGCTGAAATGAGCAGGCTCACTCACCCTCGCAGGAGGTAAAAAACATAGTACCCCGACATCCTATATATCAATCAAGAGCTCTTGATGAGTAGAGTTTACCTATACCCTTCCCTCTCAATTTCATTTACTTACACAAAAGTTAACTTTAAAAAATCGTTTTTGGTGTTTTGACTTCTGGTCTATTGCAGCTTCATAACCTCGACAATAACTCCTTTTCAGGATCTACTTTTTTTGCATACCATAAAGGAATCATTTCTTATTCATGCTCATACTCTCGCAGAATGATCTGCTGCAAATTACTCAAGTTATAATAATTGAAAAGTATCAACTACACAATTCTCATCACTGTGCTACACTCTATATTTATTCTGCTTCAAGTGGACACAAAAGCGAATTTCCTCATTGTACAGGGTGCGGCAAAAGTCTGGGAGCCTAGTACTTTTTCGTACAAGGCGAGAAGGGAAGTACCTAGAAACGAAAAATTTGGCGCACACATAATTTGAACCATTGCAGATACGCCCAGTTTTTGAATTGCAAAACTGCCTCTTTTGGCTTCCACGCAGCCCTACAAAATCTTGGCAAGTCCACATGTCATGGCACGCAGGTAGTCGTAATGAAATTCGCCCCACGCCTTCACAATAACTGCTACTTTTACCCTGACAAATGTGCAGCACGATAGAGCAAGCTTTTATCTACAACATACTTCCAAAAGAATATTTTGCATTGCTTAGGAATAAAAATAGTGGATTTTCAATTAGAAGCATGTGTACGTCGCATACCGGAATTTTGGCTACAACTGCGCGAATAAAACTTAGAAATATCGCTTAAAAAGTATAAAAAGTGTTCCCATGGCCGAATTTCAATAGATTCTAATTTAGAAGACGTATGCAAAAAATACAGCCTTGGTCCCAGTGCCTGTTGAGCATTCTATAGCTTTTAAATTTGTTCTGAAGACGGATTTTACTGGCACGTAGGTAACATTCGCAACTTTTATTTCCCGTTCATGCAAGAACAGCTCCTGGCAAAATCAAAACTAGGATACAATAGCGCAAAGTCTCTTCTATGTTGTGTGCATCGAAGTTTTGTAAAATATTAACAGCATCTCTAGTTACAGCAAAAATTGTAAATACCAAAAATTCTGATTTTTCGCTTTGCAAAATACAGTTTGGTAATTTCCAATCTTACAAAAACATGTGGCAGCCATTTCCAGCCAAATAAAGTGCATTCTGTAGAGGATGGCCGCAGCATCATGTGGCCTAAAATTGAAATCAAAACCATCAGTATCTTTGTAATTGCAGTACTGCAAAATTAGGCTCCCAGACTTTTGCCGCACCCTGTACTCCACATATACCGACATAGAAATTATTTGCAACAATAATTTCATCATCATCGCAAAGTCTTATTTTACACATTTGTAAGTTCCAGGTATAATTGTTCATTATAGAAATTATTTGCAACAATAATTTCATCATCATCGCAAAGTCTTATTTTACACATTTGTAAGTTCCAGGTATAATTGTTCATTAGCGCCCTCCAAGCCTCTGAGTATCTGCCAGTGTCCATTGCCCATGGTTAGAATTATATTTACAACATTTCAAGTTCATACCTCATGAAAGTGTATGTTTTCACCTTACATTTTCAATTTCGCATTACTTCCTCATCTCCAAAAAAAACCTGTTTTTCTTCCATTCGAGATGAAGGGGAAGGGTAATCCAGGCTCCAAAGAAAGGAGGGTGAGCTTTTGCTCACTCTACCGCACGTATGCTTTGGTATTACTTCGATCAACGAGCATGTTCCCCACATCCTAATTGAAGCAACCTCTGCCTACACCATTTGGTACAAAAAAAAACTGGAACGATAACATGAGTTTCCAAGATGATTTTATACAAAAAATTCCGGTTTAAAAAATTCAAAAATAAAAAATCTGAGTGTTAGCCAGTTCAAATATTGAAGAGAGATGGTGGAAAGTGTTTAGACACAAAGGTGTATTCCTAAGATAAGTCTGTCTCCTAGAGACTCTAAATGACCAAGATAGAAAAGAAATCATGCGTAAACTAGAAAGTGATATGATAAAATCCAAAGTCAATGTTAGAATCGTGTAAAGTGGCAGAGATAATGCGCAATAAAGACTGCAGTATGTTAGAGGGCTTACACAATATAGGCATGCTGAGCAGTCAGAATAGGGCTCTCGCCGCTGGCTTCTTGCTGTCCACATTCAGTCCGGCAATCTTTTGTTGCTGATCATTTTGTAGACGAGCTAGCTCATCTTTCACAACCTTCTCCAGCGTCGAGTAATCATTTTGCTCCAATCGTAGATACTTCTTCCCAGAAATCTCAGTGAGTATAACCATGTTTGGAGCAATCTCGCAGAGTAAAGTCACATGTTCGATCACCAAAGCTAAATTGGAAGAAAGTTTACTTAAAGAGAAAGTTGCAAACTTGTGGTATCTTCTAAAGTGATCAACTTACCGCGATTCATTGCTGACTGACTCTTATTGATCTGTTCAGATAAAATATTTATTTCCATAGAGCGAACTTTCTTGAAGGCAAAATACCTTGAAAGATGACAAATACATTACCAAGTTTTTGTATTATTCTTTATGTTAAACTTACGTTGTGATGCATCTCAAAAGCCCATGCAAAATTCGTTGCAAGAGCTCAACTCTCCTATCAGTGGTTGGATCGCGCAACTTCTCAGCAGCTTTCTTAGCCTCCTCTTTGGCACGTATCTACGAGAATTTGTTTTAAATTGCTTCGATTGACAATCGATAAAATGCTTCGGTTATTTTGATATTACTGCTGATACGTACTCTTTCCATTAAAGACATCGCTCCTTTAGGTTTGGACGCTTGTTTTTCAGCGAATTGCCGAGGAGAAAGAGGAACGGCCGTTGCTGAGCTGATGACCTTCTTTACTGGGCTTTTCAGCTCCTCTAGTACATTCTAAAGTCTTATTTGAAGAAAAATATTCAAAGGATACAAAGACAACTACATACATCAACACTGCTCGGCAGAGGAACGCTATTGTCCACCGTCGCTAGATAATCTCTCATTTGAAGATGACGGTCAACGTTGTCTTGAGGAACGTCAGGGATTTCCGCCTGAAACTGACGTCTATCCATCAAGATGAGAGATACGATGTTTTAGAAAAATAAAAAGATCTTCTACAAACGTTACCTCCGGTATTCGCTCGCATTCCGTGTCCAAATCAAATTTCGGGTGGAATCGTCTCAACTTGGAATACTCAGTTTCGCTCATGAATACTATAACATATTTATTAACTGTATGCTAAATTGCATGCTGATAAACTTACGGCCAATCTTTTCCATAAACTTCTTGTGGAAGTGTTTAGCAATCTCTACAAGTTTGTGTCGGAAGATATGGCTGCGGCAAGTCATCCGCCAGCCTTCAAGTCGAGGCCTAGCATCAAGAATAGGATCTCTGGAAGTGATTTGACGTGGAACTATGAGGGTTTTGCTAAGAGTTCAACCATCTGATAAAAAGCTCAAATATCGCTACTCACCTCGGAACAACGTTTACAACTTTCTTTCTGGGTGAAAGTAGCTTATTAGGAGTAACCCCGGGTAGCGGAGGTTCTTCAACCTTCACTGGCGTATCAGGTAGCATGTATCCCGTTAAATCTAGAAAGAATCAAGAATAACTAGAGCAGCATTTGAACTTTATGAGTAGTTCGATTGTTCAATTATACAAATACCACATTTCCAGAGACAGCGTTAAAGTTTTTTGGAAGCTGAATAATGCAAGAATGCAGCGAGAACATGAGTAGACGATGGCAAGTGGAAAACACTCTTCCTATCCTCATTAAAGGAAAAAATAGGAAGCGTATGCGAAGGAGAATATAGCTAACATACCGTCAGTAAGGTTGGCAGACATAACCAAATCGAATTTTCCGCATTTTGATTCGCCGCCGAATGGATTCCAACGTTTCTCCAAACGTAAATCATAACTTGTTGGATACACGTGCACGATTTGAGCCAGATTCTTACGGGTAAAACTACTGAAAGGGTATGTTGAACGAATGCTGCTAAGAAGAGAACTCTACAAACATTTGAGTGTTCTTCTCCACATTCTTCTGTATCTCAGAAACTACACATCTTCGTCCCTGCGTCGTGTATATCGAAACGACCTGAAAAAACCCAAAGAATCCATAAGAAGTTATAGGTAGCACTGTTCATACCCTGTCACAGCTTTGGAAGCTTTCCAAAAGTCGCTCATACTGTAAGGGCAGAGGCAGAGTAGAGTTGTTTTTCACTTCTTCTATGAGCCGTGATGCCTTGCCATACTCAAAGACATGTCTAGAATGGCGATTAAGCAAAGAAGTCGATTGATTATCAACTTAAAACCTTTTCTCCTCAATTTCATCTTCCTCGACAGCTTCCCTTTTCGCGGGTGTGACATGTGTGGGAAGCACGTACTCGGGCACATTGGACACAGAGGGCTGGTATAAAGTGTGAATTGCAGTAAAAGTAAAAAAATTCCAGGTGTAACAGCGACTTAGCTGGTAGCTGCTGCTTACCTTGGTCCGTTCTTTCGTATGTCTTGCCTTGCTTTTTGCCACCACAGCTTTGCCAACTGGAACAGCTTTGACAGGAGACTTGAGCAGATGTACATGATCCTCCACCTAAATTTACGAGAAGTACAAAAGCTTAATTTAATCAAAACTGATATGCAGCTGCGATAATAAGCTAGAAACGAACAATTCTAATGCAAAACAGTGGAAATTCTGGTTTACGATTAGATATGAACAGGAGAGATTAAGAGCAGTGAGAACAACAGCCACACCTGCTTAGATTTATTCTTTTGCGACTGCTCATGTAACTTCTGGAGTCCCGCTTTCTCTGCCAACATGGCTTGCAGTTCAGCTACGGTTCGTACCTTACTGCGGACTTTGTTTTGCGTTCCTGCAAGTTGTCAGATTGGCAGCACCAAACGCAAGATTACATTGACCTACCAACTGAAGCGAGTTTGTTGCCTAACTCTTCGGCTTTTGCCAATAAAGGATTTGTCACTATATCCTTCTTTTCCACTACAACGTTAGAAGAGTCTCCCATGGTAGCAACCTCCACTCTCTCCGTCTTTGCTTCAGACGTGGACTGAATCGACATGCTTAACAGACGAATTTCAAAAGCACAACGCTTACTTTCTCGGCGGGAACAGATTCACGTTCTTGTTTTATTTGCATTTCATCTTCTTGGTTCTCCTCCACATTCTCTTGCTTGGGTGGGTTAATCGCTTCATTACTAACCGGAAGATTGAAAAGCACTTTTCGCGCACTACGGACTATGGTTGCATCGGTATTCTGAATAAAAAAATGGAAAGGTATCACAAACCCACTAAAAAAACCCACCTTCTTTGCTCTTTTTGGAGGAGAACATGCGCTTTCAGACACTATGCTTGGTGGTATGGTGCTTGTAGACGACTTCAAACTTACTTTTTTGAATTGCAAAAAAGAAGAGAAACGCGTGTAAAAACAAACCTGTACATCAACAATCGTTTCCTGCAGGATCTTTGAAGAATGTGTAGAAACTCCATCGCTAAGAATTTTTTTCTGCGCCTTTCCGCGCCCTCTAGTTACCTGACACTTGACTTTTACTGCAAAAACTGGATATTGAAGAAGTCACGGTACCTTGAACACATCGGTGATCTTCCTTGTTTGTTCTACTGGCTCATTCAGTGTGATCTTAGTAGATCGGGAACGTGTACTCCGACACGACATCGAGATTGATTAGATTTGTTAGTAAATTGATAAACCCTGAAAGCTGCTGAAGTAATCGAATATAGGTATCATGTAGGTATCTATGTATGCATTTACTCTATGACCAAGAAGTTCAAAACCGCTTTGCACACATCGTCAAAACAAGCTTGATCATGTGGTTGATGAGTTTACTTGTGATCTATTCAGTCTGAAATTATTTGCTACTTGGAAACAAGAAAGAGCAAGTTCAGTCTTGTTTTGACAATGAAAGCAAGGCGGTTTCGAGTCCTTCAGTCACAGAATGAATGGTAGGTTCTGAACAGGAAAGACGAGTGATGATGGGAATCAAAGCTATAATATTAATTATGCAAATTTCAAGCTTTCAGGGAATATAAAATAATCGTTTTTGAAACCAAGCATTCGCGCCAAATGTACAGGCGGATGCCGCCGGTGCACTGGAGCAGCTCAGCTAGCAAAGCTTCTATTGAACGCTTCCAAAAAAGTGAGAAGTTCATTCGAGTTGAAAAACATGTTAGTTTTTACAGAATTATCTCGGATTTATAGTCTGCAAAGTCAATGTTTTATCACACTTATCTCTTCTGTTGGGAAGGCGACGAATATGCAGAAACATGCACCATACAAAGTGGACGATATTACAGTCATTAGATCTTATATCACTGGTTTTCTTGCGTCTTTTTATAGAAAAGCGACAAGTAATTATGCAGGTCATGATTTGAAACACGGGAACGATAGTCATCTCCTCAGCTAAGTTCGGGGTTGACGAGCAGCTACAGCGCTCCAGTGCAAAGATGCTTTTTATTGCCAAAAAAAGTCGAAGACGTTCCACTCTCCTTATCGGCGTGTCTTGCATATTTAATGCTGATAGGGCGGACCGTTCTCAACCACTTTAGGAGAGGAGCCGGTCAATTCCAAACTATGAATTCTATCTGTCCAGCTCAACGCGTCGAAGGCTCAAGACCCAGTCTGTGGGTGGAATTCACTGCTTTAGCAACGCAATGTCAAGCCGTCAATCTTGGACAAGGCTTTCCCGATGGATCTATGCCAAAATTTGTCGCTGATATTCTGGGAAATATCGCTAACCATCCGGAGAAGACTGCCTGGCATCAGTATACTCGCAGTTTTGGACATCTTCGTCTCGTCAATGTGCTTTCGAAGCTGTATGGAGTTTTATACAACAGGCAGATTGATGCGAATGATGAGGTATTAGTAACAGTTGGTGCTTATTTATCACTTTACTATGCATTTATGGGCTACCTCAACCACGGTGATGAAGTGCTAATCATTGACCCTGCTTTTGACTCCTATGCCCCTCAAGTTGCTATGGCTGGAGGGGTGCCAGTGCACTGCGTCATGCCATTGAAGGAAAATGCCAAGTCTAGTGCAGACTATGAGTTAGATATTGAACAAATGAGAGGAAAAATCACATCAAGGACGAAAATGATCGTGCTGAACAATCCGAATAACCCAACTGGGAAGCTTTATAGTCGAAACGAGCTAGAAGCCATTGCAAAAATCGCCCGCGAGTTCGATCTCCTCGTCATCGCCGATGAAGTTTACGAATGGCATGTTTGGGACAAGAAAATGATCCGTTTTGCTACCCTACCTGGAATGTATGAAAGGACCATTTCTATAGGAAGCGCTGGTAAAGCTTTTTCCGTCACTGGCTGGAAACTTGGATGGTCCATAGCTCCAAAGGAACTTCTCAATCCTCTCAAAATGGTGCATCAGAACTGCACTTTCACCTGCAGTACCCCAACACAAGAAGCGCTAGCTAATGCCTTCGAAAAAGAGCTTGAACTATTTTCCACAAATCCGGAACAATCATACCTCCTTACTGGACTTCCAAACGAACTCCGCGAAAAATGTGATCGGCTTTATAAGATGCTTTCTGAAGCAGGATTCGACCCCATCCGACCAGACGCAGGCTACTTCATGATAGCCCACTTTGGAAACATCGATGGCCCTTTCAAAGATGATGCATCAGGTGATGAACCTATCGACTTCCGTTTCGTACGATGGCTTTGTAAGGAAAAGAAGTTAGCGACTATACCAGTTTCTGCATTCTATAGTAAAGAAAACAAAGTGGGAAACGACGACACAATTCGCCTTTGCTTCATGAAGACCGATGAAACCCTTGAAGCTGCACATGAGATACTGAAGAACCTGAGATAGCAACTTTTATGCTTGTAGCATTTTTTCCAGTTATAGGTTAGGTTTTTTGCTATTTTTTACGGGAATTCTACCTACTCTCAGTGGTAAACCTCTCTTCTTTTCGAATTGGCTTTAGTAAACTGATAGTCATTAGGAAATCATCCTTTTTAGTGAATGGTAGAATTTGTACCCTGTTTTTTTATAACTTGGCATCATATGCATGTATTTGTTAGTTCTACCTGCAAAAACCTGCCAAAGTATATACTGATAATGATACATAAAGCAGTTCTATCATCTTGTTTTATACATCGAATAAATAGACCACACGAATCCAGAAGAAACAGAGGAGATCATTTTTGTAACTTGGGTTTTGGCGGTCGAAACGCTGCTCCTCGCATCACATGGCCGTCCTCTGCACGCCTTGCCTTTTTTGCTTGAAAATTGCGCCAACTACCCGATCGCTCATCACGGGATTCCTAAACACTTTTTGTAAAAGTGTGTATCAACTGGTATGCAGACATCCATGACGCATTGAACAAAGATAAATATTGCACATAATGACAGGAGAACATCGGAAACTCCACCCACTTCGTAATTTTTCGCAAATTCTTCAGCAAGCTTTCTTTTCTCTGCGGCTTGTTGTACCGTTTCTGCAACTCGTCGTCTGTAATTTAGAGCCGGATGAGAGTACGATCTGGTTATTTTCATCATCATCAAGTCATTTCAGCTTACTTTTCCTCATTCGCACGTTCCTCCAACATTTTCCTTTTCTTTTCGCGATCCGCAAACACCTTGGTAACAGTGATCCACAACTGCTTTTTGTACACTTCGGGATCATCCTCCTCAATTTCGCTGTTGCCGGTTTCCTTCTTGAGTTTTCGCCGTTTTTCTGACATCTGAAGTGGGAATTTCAAGCAGAATAACATTTACATATTGCGAAATGCCTTACCACTATGGAAAGACGTGCACGGGCTTCTGTGTAACAGTCTTTGCAGCGATTAAGCTCCAAAGGGCTCTCTATTTGTTTCATGGCCTTCTTGATGACTGAAAATATGAATATGCTTTGAGAATGACCAAAATTACAGTCTCAACGAGAGCACTCACTGTCGAAAGCTTGGTCAGCTCTGTCGCGATCTTCAGGATTTTTATCGGGGTGAATAAGCAGGGAAAGCTTTTTAAACTTCTTCTTGGCTGTTTCAAGATCAGTATCTGGGTCAATTTGGAGAACCTATGGGTGTTTAGGTATTTCGAAAGTAACAAAAGAGAGAAATGAAAAAATCAGAATGGTTACGATACCTCGAACGGATTTAGGTTTAGATATGTTGAACCAGGACGAAGAAGTCTGTCCAACTGTTGCTGTGACGTGAGCACTGCATCCTCCTTCTCCGTAGCTTTGATCTAAATCAACATGAATGAGAGAGCCAAAAAAAGCAGGTCTATCTCAGTTCCAAAATGTAAACGTCTTAAGGATAAACTGCGTTGTATAAATACAGCAAAAACTTACGTCATTGTAGAACTGCTCAAAATTACTCATGGTCCTAAAAATGAGATTTAGAGGAATTATTCTTAACAGTTTGGATGGTAATTTGGAATGAAACCACTACACAACCACAACCACAAATGAACAAGGGCCTTGGTACATGTTTATCATCAGAAACTGGCATGACCCGTCCATCAGAAGCTAAACAAACTGAAAATGTGTACTGACTATGAAAAGGCGAAGAATGCTAAAAGATGATGCATCGCAGTCTGATCACATAATTAAAAAATCCTGGGGCAGAAATAAAGCAGAGCTCTGAGAACTGAAAGACAGAGATATTGTAGCAAGACTGACTACCGAAAATACCTAAGCGCATTCAGAATGCACCAAACATGATCTTCCTGAGATGCGGTTCTATGTGATGAATAGGTGGAAAAAGATCAAATTCAAGTGCTGAGCATAGAGGGAGCTCGAAAGAAAGCAGTTCCCGCCTCGATATCCGAAGCTTTTCCTCAGCACACTGTAAATAAAGGATACTGATATTTCTTACTAATGAAGGACACTGATATTTCTTACTAGTAAAGAAAATACCTCCAGAACCTTCGTTATGACCGGCTTCTTATAATCATTGAGTTTCACAGCAACAAGGAAAGCTACACCAGCAACGAATTTGCGGTTGTACTTCGAAATCAATCCCTGAATCTTTCCAGTTAACATGGGTCACCTGAAAAACCGGCTTACCTTACAAACAATCCTTTCAAAATATACATAAGCTTGGGCAAGCGTGTATTCATCCACATCACATTCTTTGGAAAGCAGCCACAGATCTTTTTTGATACTGAAACAATTACGAATTGCGCAAGTTCGACCAGAAAGCAGTAATACGAGTACAAATCAAAAATCTTTTACAGATGAGAAAAGAGAGTTGCTTACCTCCTCAACTTGCTATATGTGAGGTGAATGTGGGGAAACTTCTCCGCAAATCTTTCATTCAACGTAGCCTTACTTACCTGGGAATTTGCGAACAGTTTTGTGACTCCCTAGAAATGGGAATTATACAAATGAAAACACAGAACTCTTCTTGACTTACAATAAATCCATTTGTTCGAATTACAGTTCTGTTTGCTGAGGCAACTTCTTCCAATAATAACGGATCATAATCATTGAAGGTATCTTCACCTTCCAAGTGATATGAATCATTATCAAAAGTCACATCCGTATGTTTGATGATGGAATCTGTAAATGAAAATAACAGATCGATCAACAAGGGTTTTCACAAAGACTAGTAAAAACCATCTTTTCGCATAGAAATACAATGATGAATTATTTGTTCGAACTTTCTTTTTACGATGCTAAGTTATGGGCAAGATAAAATGTTCACCTTGACCGTTACCTCACACGGAGAACGGTCTTATTAACTTCTCTGGGTATCCAAAGATTTAGAAAATAATTTAAATATCGGTAGATCAGATAGCTTACACTGTTCGCTGTCCTCTCTGAGATATTGGCCAACACGAGCAGCACTGGCAGGAGCTTCGCTAGTCTATAAGGTGCTGTTGTCTGTATAAAGAAGAAGAACTTCTGTAACAAAAAGTACCCTTCTTTCTTCCTTAGAAGGAGATTTCCAAGCTACACCACCAAAAGACATTGCACTTGATCGGCGGAGCTTGGACGAAAGTTGCTCAAAACGTATGCACTGCAATACCAAGTAGTGCCAATGCAAACACTTATTCGAAAATACAACTAATTCATAATAGATACCTCCACATCTCTGAATTCAAAAGGCCGTAATTCTTCAATAGATCCATCCCCAGCGCTTTGGCGCTCATTACTGTAAATAAAAAAGTGAAGAATTCGCTGCATTCATCTTGAGGAAAAGAAAAGTCAATGGAAAAATCAATCGTGCAAAGTTCAAGCAAATTTTCCGTGCTCTAGTGAGCTACCTTCCAATAGAGGATCGTGAGCGGTGAAGACGTGATCGATCACGTGCTGTGGATTGAAAAGGAAAATGTGAAATTACAATAATTGGAGCCCCTGATGGCGCACACAGATAGGACCGTGATCTGTAATCGATAAGTAGTGAATAGGTTAGATAGTAGAATAATACAATGTTATCACTATCAAAGGAGAATGTGAGAGACGGGATACAAAATTAAAAGTTCCTAGAAGACCGGCCGGTTCACAACACGAAAACAAAAGACATTGTTTACCCTCCAAATTAGGAGAAGTGAAGTACCTGTCAGATTTGGCAATTGAAGTTCGTAGACGTCGAAGGAAAGAGAATTGAGTGATTGACACTGGCGTAAGCGGCCGATCATCCGGACTCCCTGCATATGGTTTGCTTTTCAGTTGTCACAATATAATTTAATTGCATGCGTGTCTGTTGGGATGACCTTTCTGCACCAGTTGGAACAAAATGAGATATTCAGCAATAATTTGTAGCTTGACGGTGGGTTCACAATCTCCGCAAAAAAACCGAACCAATGAAAAATTGAAGCACCTTCACATTCTCAAAAGCGAATAAACTAATGAAAAAATGATAAAAATATTGTACATTAGAAGTCTTACTCGAATTCGTAAAGATAACGATGATGTCAACAAAACGTGCTTCAAAAAATCGTATGCTGCGGCTACCAAAACTTCAGCTCAACATAAAAAAATACTTTCCAAAGATTGAAAATTCTCCTTTACAAAGAATTGAAAGTCCTAAACTTCCCCAAGAGACGACAATGCCGTAGCCATTTTTTTGGCTGTGTGCTACACTAAAAATTTTGAACCGCTTTTTTCTGAGCACCTTACTTTCCTGACACTTCCAAGTTTCATTTTCAATCGCATGCACTACGGTGAGCCATTCGGAAGCTCACAATAGTAAATCAGACTAGTTTGAAAAGGTGTGGGCAATTCATTATTCTGATTTTCTCACAACCAAAGCTGAGCAGAAAAGTCATAGAATTGTTCATCACACTTACGATCGAATGAGTCTGATCGTCCTGCCTCATCCTTCGTCACAGGTTTCAACTCAAACATTTTCTCTTCAGTGGTACTCTTCTCATCACCAACAACATCATCAGTGCTGATCAACCTCACAATCTTTCCCAATATCGAGACTCTTAAAATGGAGTGAACGACAAAACAGGGCCCGCAATTCCATAAAGAAACAAACTTCTTTGGCGGTTTACTTCTCCCCGTTGACAATCGCAGAACTCCAGGACTGTCAGTACTGGTATGTGCACTTACACTTCTCTGTTGAAAATAATTTAAGACCTACAATCAACAAACTGCGTAATTAGAACCTCACTTTGCCAGCTCCAAGCAAAGAAGTATCCTCGCCCACTTCAATGGATATTTCTGACTCCGCATCATTCTTCGATGAACAAACAGCCTATACGCTACGTTTGCATTATAAATTATCCTTATTTCGTATAACACCTCCTTCCTTCCGCGACCAAAAAGCTCCAGGTCAGCATCGGTAAGAGTTTGATCCAACTGTATGTTAGACAGGAAATTTTGAGCAATGAGAAGATGATACTCGCTTATTGTTGACTTCATTTCTGTTTAAAAATTATTAGAAAGTTAGAGCCGAGATTTTTACCATATTTTGCAAGAGCTCGTTACTGCACCTTTCAATGCACAACGCTTGCAGTATCAACAATTTATTGACCAACTGATTTTGTTACAAGAATATCACTTCTAAAGAAGACTCAGATAACTCCAAAAAAAAATGAAATTAACATGGAACGTGGAACGATGAGAAAAGCTATCAGAGTCAACCGCCACAACACAACACTTCAAACTCAGTGACCCACAGGTATCGTCACAATGACAACTGATAAATTTTTGAGATAGCTGGAACGATAAACATCGGAAACTACGAATTCTGGAAGAGACAAACACCGTTTTTAACGAGAATGGGATGAGGAGCGAGAGGAAGAGCGGCTGCGCTTACGATCACGAGACCTGGAGCGAGAACGGCTGCGGGAGCGGGATCTTCTGTAAAGGTGAATGATGTAGAAACGAAATGACGGATAAAACATTCTACTTTACCTAGACGATGTGCGGATAGGACTCTTTGTGATGCTCCTTCTGCGGCTGAAAACGTAACACGTCACTTGCAGAAGGCACACGCAAATGCATCGCTTGTATGGTATACTAGCTCTTATGTGGCAACAAGTCGCGCAAAACAGGCGTGTTGTGGCAGCACCCCGGCCACTTGATCCCACTCACGCTAACATACCTTTGTAAAAATTCGATCTACTTCCTGCATCAAACCACACCATTATCCATAGTGTTGTTTGTTGGTCTCAACTCATCAACCAACAACCATTATCCAGCGCCAATCAAAGCCGCTGCTGCTACCGCCAGCAAAATCCATAGAGCATACGGCTTCTATGACGCAACGCGACCATATGCGCCGCGTCCGAATTCCCACACAACATCACCAACCATCCAAAACATCAACCAATGCCAGCGCTAAAAAGTACACCGGACTGTACTGGAGATAGGAGGTGGTCTAATAGGTTGGTGGAAGAAAGAAACCACCGCTTCGTGGAGTCCTTGTAAACTTTACTTTCTTTGTCTTTGATAATTTGAATCACGTGTTCGCGCAATTTCAACTTTACTGATCACACAAGAGATGTTTGACTAAACCGTGCATATCGTAGGGTGTGCATACGGCATGCTTGCTAGCTTTCCTCAAAGATCATCAGAAATATTTCATTAATGTACACAAATACGAGCCAACATGATGATAACAGCAGATCGGGAACAGGACGACACGCATCTTATTGATTAGTTGAATAACGCATGAGAACATAATGATGCATATGTTTGCAGCTACAAAACACACAGCTCACATTAGAATTGGCACAGTGGTACCACGAATAAAGGCGTCTTCATCCTCGAAATGTCACGTAAAATGTGCTTATTGCATGGTTCTTACCTAAATTGATATAGTTAAAAAAGTACATATAGATTTGATCGCCTTGACTGTGGTACCACCGCAACATTCTCAACACAACAGTGAGAATTGCTGTTAGCACTTACGTACTGCACTGTGTTTAGAAATGAGCAGCAGCAAACATTATTATACATATTCTCTACTCCAGACACACTGTGCAAGTGCTCTGTAGCATTCAAAGATCCAACACCCATGCAAGCTATGTAAGGATGAAATGCACACTCATTAGACGAGAACACTGAAGTCTGAGGTATAAGCCCCTGGCAGTCACTCTTCCTACAAAACAGTCAAGTAAGTAACCCCAGACTTCAATATCAGAGTTCCAATCATGCAGTTCCAAATTTTCTCAACATAAATCACCACTAAGCGTTGATAATTTTTTCTCATATGCTTTGAACTACAACTTTCTCGCATATGCGCCAAGTATTCATCTCAACTAATTAACTTCGTTCACTCACCGTCTTGAGTAAGAACCGCCATAACCGCCACCGCCTCCGTAGCTATTTCCGAAGTTGTTGCGGAAACCAAAGCGCTCGCGACGAGGCAACGCATGAGCAACACGGATGCGTTGACGACGGATATATCTGAAATTAATAAGATTAAGTATATGCAAGGACTACAAAAACCGTTACGCACGAGTCGTTCATCTTCCTAATAGCTTCTTCTGCATCTTCGTCTCTCTTATAGGTGATGAACGCGTAAAATGGATGATATGAAGCAAGCCAGATATCCACAACTTTGCCAAACTTCCTGCAAATACAGCATTATACCATTAACTAGTGTATAATGCTGCAGAGTCACTCCATCCACTCGCAAAAATCTTATCACTGTTCTTCAGTTTTTGCTTTTTTGACACGATGATGCATCATCGACAAACTCACTCAAAAGCTTTTTCAAGGTCTCGCTTGGAAATCGATGCTGTCAAATCAGACACGTGGATTCTTCCATTGATAACACGACGACTGCTTGATGGAATCGGAGAATACGTGCGAGAGCGAGACCTAGAGCGACGAGAACGCCGACGCTCTCTTCTGAAAATGCATTAGATTTTCCACTAAGAAAGAACCATATGAAATGACTACTCCAAGAAACATCTCATGGTGCTTACCCACGGCTCCTGCTTCTTGATCGACTTCCACTTCGGCTTCTAGAGCGTGAACTTGAACGAGAACGACTCCTCGAACGCGATCTCGAATCACGCTTCTTCTTTTCCTTCTTTTTCTCTTTTTCCTCTACCTGCAACAGAGACTTGAAGGTAAACAATATGCTGCTTGCTTAAGAAATGCCTCACCTCTTCGTCCTTGGACTCTTTCTTCTCATCAATCACTTCAGCTTTCTTGTCACTATCTTCAACTGCTGGCAGTTCCACGTCTTGAGGAGCGACAACAGCGGTTTCACCCTCTGCGGCACTCATATCCTGGAAACACTTGAATTTCTACAAAGATGTTACCGCCACACAAGAAAATGTCGCATAAAATTCGCATTCGACGAAGAAAAACTATTCACACGAGAAACACACACCACTTGACAGCCGTACACGAGCGAAAGTAAACGAGAATGGCAGCCCGTGTGCAATCGATAAACGCGGGTTCACACGTCACGACGCTACACGATTCCCTCGATACAGTAGCCCTAATTGTTCAAACATATAACAAGGGAGTTTCTCACCGGTTGTTACTTTATACGCCAGCATGAGGGTCTGGATGTCTGACTTCACAGAAAGCAGTGCCCGGGAAAATCTCGATTTCGAACCTTTGAAGACAGTGTCCGGGCAAAAACTTGATTCCTGGAAACTCCACTTAGGGGTTATCCGCAACGCTGGATTCGAAGGACCCGTGGCGGCATGGGTGCTCTGGGAGAGCAAGCGTTAGACGACAAAACGTGCAAAATGCAAGCAACGTACCTAAATCCCGTAACTCAAGACTATGCACCATTTTTTCATTGGCGTCAGGTAATGTATCGGCCCCGACCCTCACCCCCCTGTTTTTGGCGGAAGAGACGTTTTGCACGGGGAGATCTTTGGGGTCAAAAAATTGGGTTTGTCGCCTAACGCCCTACACCCGGTGCTCTGCCGCATAGCAAGAATTTGAATAGGTGGAGAGCCCGCCAGGGCGTTAGTTTCCCTACTTTCCGACTATATTTCTTGCTTGTGGTGAAACGTTATGGTTTCGCATTTGCGCCATGGCATCTCTGACGGGACCACTTTCGCATAGCACTGAAATTCCAAAACCCCACGTTGTCCGGACACTGCCTTTGAGAGAGCGCAATGACTAAAGTAAGCTTTTCAGGGGTCTCCATTAGCGTCTCGTTTGGGAAGCCGCGTCCCGATAAAAAACTCTGATTTCCATTTCCGCTCGCAGCCCATACTCGCGCAGATTCGTAATATGCAACTTGGAAAGCGCGAAAATGTCGAAAATAAGCTCTCAAGCTCTTGGTTTTGAATTTGACGAAGGGAGCAGAATCAAGGTGCTAAGAATGAGACGTTACCCTCACAACTGTGTGCATGCGCGCTCTAATAACGGCGAAACATCGAAGTTATATTTCGGCAGATTCCTTCTAGCCTCAAAGGAGTTCCTTTGCTTTCTTCCATCAGGTAAGAATCGCCGCTGGTCCTCGCTTCATATGTCATGGTTGGCGGTCGCTCGTAAAGGCAGAAGCACGACCTAGTTATCCTCTCTTTTAGAAAAAAAATCCCTTAGCAGCTCAGAAGCAAAGAGAAACCTTGCACATGCTTCCCACCTACGGCGGCGATTACCAGCAAGATCGTTTTCTGCTTATGCCGCCTTCTGGATTGAAAAAAAAACAGTGTGAGACGACACGCCATGGAGACTGCCTCATGCTTCGCACCTACAACGCCAGAAGAATCTCAAGAAACGCCGACGTCTAAGGCTTGATACATACCTGACGATGGGTGGCTATAGCTGACGATGCGTCGCTGCTAGCAGCAACGCTTTTTATGCGTATCGATTGCAGCCAAGCGACGCTGCTGCTCCTGGCTGCTGCAGCCATCGCGAAACAGACCCGCTATAGTTAACGATGCTGCGCTGCTTCTAGCTGCTCCCTGCTGCTCCCAGCTGTTCGTTGCTGCTCCTCGCTGCTACGCGATATGAAGCTCACTTTTTGCGAGCTTTTCTCAGCTGCTCCATGCTGCTATCAGCTAATTTCGCTCGGATTTGCTTCTATTTACCATTTTTTGTGTTTTCAAAGAATTTCTGGAGCATTTGTTGCGATAAGTGAACTACGACATTTTGCGAGACTATTGAAAGGACAAATGCATAGGTGAACAAATCAAGATAAACTCTACAAGACCTCTGGAATAAAAATAGAATATGAATAGAGTACGATGAACAGCTGGAGGCAGATATTTATCAAGGAAGATAGTGGGATGCCGCTAGCCCACTTATGCAATACGGCAGGGAATAGACCTACCCTAAAATCCCGCCAATAAGTCCGCTTAACAAATAAGTCCGCCCTATTAGATAATTTCGCAAAGGAACTATCAGTCAAGTCCGCTTTCGTGACAACGAAAGTCGCCGAGAGTCCTGCAGATAAGTCCGCTTTCTTCAGATGAAAACAAGAAGGATGCGCAATTGCGCTGCCTTTTTTGGTCTCAAAATGAATTAAAGTAACAGAGCTTTACTCAGGTTCCATTCCATGATCATCATTATCAAAAACGTGGCTGACCGACGCTGCTTCTTCTTCTAACGACTAAGTTCTTTTTCATCATGAACCGTTCGCACCACGACTCCGTTGCTTTGAAGTACTGGGCCATATTCCTGCGCTAATTGCAATGCCTTCGCTCGAATGTCTTTGATAAGCACTGCTCTGCGTGCTTCTCGCCTCTGCACAATCCATGCATAGACAGCTTCCTCGATTTCCTCCACCTTTTGCTTTCCATAACGGTTGGCGCGTTTCTTCAGTGGCATATCCTCCAAATTCTCCTTAGGGAACGGCCATAGGTTGTCGATGTTGTCGGTGTTGTCAGTGTTGTCGGTGTTGTCGGTGTTGTCGATGTTTTCGGTGTTGTCGGAGTTGTCGGGGTCAGAGACAATTTAGAGAGCGCGCGAAACGTGGAGGCTATCATGAGGTCCTACAACGACCGGCAACCTTTGCAACCCCGACAACCTCGACAACAGTTGTTGGGGTCAGAGACAGTTTAGAGAGCGCGCGAAACGTGGAGGCTATCATGAGGTCCTACAACGACCGGCAACCTTTGCAACTCCGACAACCTCGACAACACCAACAACACCGACAACATCGACAACACCGACAACATCGACAACACCGACAACATCGACAACACCGCCAACCTATGGCCGTTCCCTTATCGGCCTTCATCTTCGAATCAGACGTGCAGAAACTTCGCAGTGAGCAGCTGCAGCCGACGTCCCATGTTCCAAGGCATATTCTATAGCGTTAAGCTTGAAAAGCGTGGTGTAGAACTTCCTTCTGGTAGCCATTGCGATCCGAAACACCTGAACAGCTTGAGTCACAGCATGTGGGACTATGACGGAAATATAGGACTCTGCGTGATTGCGAACTTCGCTGAGTTAGCGGTCATTGCACACTGGAATCACGCAGAGTCCTATAAATTTGCGCTGATCATCGAAAAGTTTACTCTTTCACAAGAGAAAGCAGGCGGCATCAAATTTGACTACACTATCTTTTGTCTTGGATGTACAGGCTTGAAACAACAATTGAGAAAAAGAACAAAGAAGCCATGCTTTGCTATGGTTGAGCGTTTTTAGACTGCCACTCTTCCGTTCATTAAAGCATTTGACAAAAGCCTTAATGAAAAAAAAACAAAGCATTTGACAAAAGCCGTATGGCGTGGATCAACAGAGACTACGTTCAGACCATGAAAACAATAGAGGAAGCAAAAAGTATAGGCAGTCAGGTTCAAGGGTTGTAGCCTGTACAGGTTCGAGAGATGTATTGAAAACATTGTCGCCTCCAAAACGATAAGATGAATGATAAGATGAGATGATTGCAATGATACAATGATGAAACCTATTATGATTCTTTTCATCGGCAGAAATCGCTCAATTTCGTACAGGTGTCATATATAGGAAAAGAACTCACCTATCCAGCGTACGCGATGACGAAACCGCGGCTGTATTCTGAGCAAGTAGCTTTCACTGCTCTTCAAGTCCTCAGACGGTTCTTTTCAGGCGCTTTCACGGCTTGGTTTGAAGCACTGAAACATGTGATATCCAAAATAACTTTTCTGAAGCCTTTTGCAAAACTACGAACCTTTTGTGTCTTTGTACTTCGTCAATTACTGCTTGGAACAGAGTATGCGGACGATCAGCGTTCTAAAAAAGCTTTGTAGGAGATGCATGTACTGTAGTTAGCCTATATCAGAAATCTCCCCACCCTAGTATTTGCTGGCAGTGGGTGAAATCCGACCTTACCATCGTGTCATCAACATCAATACAAAAGAAATGTCAAATTAAAGAGAAAGAACTCACCTATCGAGCGTATGCGATGAAGAATCCGCGACGATACTGCCAGCAAGTAGACTGTACGACTTGTCGAATCCTTGGGCTCTTTCTTTCAGGCGATATCGCTGCCTCGTTTAAATCTACACTGGCAAGCCACGCGGGCGGTCGCGCGCGTCTGTGCTCCCAGGTCGCGCTTGCTCATGCTCAGGACAGGCGGGCTTATCTGTGAGAGGATTTAGGCGGACTTATCTGGTAGACCTTTTGGCGGCGCAGAGGGCGTTTTTCCATCGATCCCTGCCAAAACTGCACATAAGTCCGGACTCATTGGCGGGATTTTAGGGTAGTTTAATTGTTGCCCCAAGCACACGTAAGGGTCATGTGTGACATTCAAATTAACATTTGTCAAACTATCTCAATTTCTTTAGTAAATGCAGCATTTGTGTGCGTGCTTATTACAAACAAAACTTTATAGTGGTAGTAGTGTGCCATATTTCATCATGGATTCCAGCGATGAGATTCATGAATTCATTTCTCCGTTAATCTAGATCAGCTAGGAGGGCTGATAATATAATACTTTGCTGCTGCACCTGAAATGCACCCATGCGCAGCAGCTTCAAGCAGCTAGAAGCAGCGGAGACAGCAGCGATTCGCCAATACCCGCTATACCTCCGTCGTCAGCTATGTATGAAGCCTAAGCTCTCTTCGACGCTGCAGAGCGCATATCAAGTACCATCGCTCTGCAAGAAGCGAAGGCCACGAAGAAGGACGCGCTTAGGGAACGGCCATAGGTTGCCGGCAACGGTTGCCGAGGTTGCTGAGGTGGCCGGCGTTGCCGAGGTTACCAAGGTTCCTGGGGTTGCCGAGGTTGCCGGTCGTTATAGGACCACATGATAGCCTCCACGTTGCGCGCGCTCTTTAAGCTGCCTCTGACCCCGGCAACGCCGGCAACCTCAGCAACATCGGAACGGGTAGGGGAACGAAAGCCGCCAGTTTGAGCCGCCTTTCGCGGCTAACTGGTCCTTTCGCAACGTTGTTGCATGTCGTTCCAGGACCAGCAGCCCGCGCAAGCGACCGAAGCTGGCGGCTTTCGTTCTACCCCATCGGAACCGTTGCCGGCAACCTATGGTCGTTCCCTTACAGTCGGGTGAAAAAACCCGCGTCACTCATGAGCAGATTCTCATAAAACGTCAAAGGCGTTGGTTATGTCTTCTCCCATCTATCGCGCATCTGTCGATTCACTGAAATCTTATCTCTTCGACTGGCCATCTTACTTTTACGATTCCCATTCAGAAGACCATTAGCTCAACAATTGCTACTGTCCAACATCAGCAGCTGACGAAAC